TCAGCCAATGGCTTGGAGGGTATGACCTCAGCTCTGCAAGGAGCGCTCCAGACTGGTGTTTTCTCGTAGGTATATTCAGCAGTATGTTCTTCACGCAGTAGCGGTGGACTTGTTCTGCTTTATTTGTTCTTCTACAACGCATCCCCCAATGCTACCACATTTTTACTGTCCAGAGGGGCTATAGCGCAACAGTAAGTGGTACCGCAAAAAACGCATTTGTGGTATGAAAAGTTATAGGATTCCAAAAGGAAATTGCAGGATATGCACAGATTGGAAATGAAGTCTTATGACCGACTCAAAACTTTTGCGCAAGCAAATAATATTGAAATCGGGGTCGCATATGGCCTGTCTAATATCATGAGTACATATCATCATGAATGCACAACGAGGACATCTGGAGAGGCCTTACATCTTTAAGCAGGTTTTAAAAGCACACTAATTTAGGGCTGCTTCTTTCTAATGTAGGTTTCTTATGAGCTTAAGTCAGAGAGTTGTTTTAGAATGCTTACCTAGCTTATCTACTGTAACTCATGTTGCTGTTTTATTTATTTTAAAGTGGCATATGCTTTTAAAATAGTGTGCTGCTGCCATATAAATTGAGTCTTTTGCTTCTGAACTGTATTTTACATGTCTTTAGAAGAGCTATTCCAAAAAAAACCCCAGCCTATAAATGAATTTATAAATAAAAGAACTGTGAATCCTTTACTGCTATAAGACGATGGAGTCTGACCCTTCATGAGGTGATCAGTTTGTATGGCAAAATACATTTCTGGCCCCAAAGATGGTGTCTGGGGAATAGAGTGGATTCCAATAATGCGGAAGAAGTTAGACATTCCTGATCAACAGCACCCATAAATTAGTGGTCTTCATAAAGGATAACACCTGCTTAGCTGAAGATAAGAGGCAAAGACTAACTCCTGAAGTTCCAACACTACATCAGACTTCCCCTCTATAGTCACTGGCATGGAAATCGTACTTTCTCTAGCAGAGGCAAGCTTTGATAGGATCAGGGTGACCCATGGAAAACAGGCTTGCAAGACTGGCAAATGTCTGGATAGCGTCGTATAGACATGGTTGTATCTGGGTAGAATCAGGACTTTCTAGTAGCTGTTCTGTTCTGATTGAAAAGAAACAGTTAACAGTATTGTCCAGCTTTCTGACTGCAGCATCTTCTAAATTCATGTTCTTCCACCATCGGTCCCCAGATGTTGCTTGTTTACAACTCCCATGAGTTGTAGTCTCACAACATCTGGGGACCACCAACAGGAAGAACATTGCTCTGAGCCTCCCATGACAAAACAGGATGGTAGTTGTATCATTAGCCACATACTTCCTTTGAAACCCCTCCAAAAATCAGAATGCCAATTTTTATTGGCGCTCTTCTTGGGGGTGGGGGGAGAGGGAAGAGTTGTTTTCTCTCTGGTTTTTGTACTGATCAATTCAGTTCTCCTCTTTATTTTCTACTTCCTTTGGTAACCAGAAGTAAAACTTCTGTGTGCAGCATCAGTAGCTTCCTACCCACCACCAAGAGATAAGAGTCTAAGCTGTGTGTAACTTAAAACAGTCTGGCCAGCATAAATCAACAAAATACTGAGCAGCTAATGCAGTATTCCTGTGAGCCAGCAGAAGCAACCCTTATGTTCTTAAATCTATCAGACACGTTGATTTCCCTGATAACTCCACATTCTTTGCAAATGCTCAATAATCACAGAACCCACAAGGTCCTGCTCTTGAGGTTGCTGACTCTGCCTTCTGAAAATGGCACAGTCCCAGTTATGGTCTGAGCCACGTCAAGATGGCCATTTTGCAATAATATACGGCTTCGGTTAGAGCTGTAATAAGCAGTGGAGTGTACGGATGGCTCTAGAGATTGGCAAAGGAAAGACAAGCTTTCTCCTCCATAAAAATACTTTATGGGTTCTTGTTATCTGGAAAGAATGGGTGGGGTGGTGGAAGAAAACTAGTGTTGAAAAAAATTAAAAAGAGATTTAACAAGGCCGTAAAAATGAAGATCAGCTCAGCTGAGCTCTCAGCTGCAGAATTCATTTCATTTTATTGCCATTTTAGGGAAGCATCTTCTTACCACCTTTGAAGTGCTACTCTGAGGAAGATCAAGGGAGGGAGGAAATGGCTATGGATGCGGCTTGGCATCACACTTTGTGCCCCCTGCCCACCAGCAAAGTTAAACATGTCGAAACTGGGTCCAATATTCTAAATCTACCTGAAGGAAAGGTTGTGGTCTGGCAGGTTGTGTTTGCTGATGGGATGCGCTGGCAATCTTGGCACCTGAAAAGTTCCTCTCCTGAAGGCCCACATCTTCAACACGGCTGTCCTCAAGCCACCTCTCCTAGCTTTACCTTTCTGGCTCCCTGGCTGTCACTCTCCTAGTCCCAGTACACATGTACCTCTAGTCCACAGCTGAATATGGCCCTCCAAGGCTTTCAGTCTGGCCCTCAGAGTTCTCTCCAGTTGCTGTGCTCTGGTCCTTCCTCAAGAGCTTTTTTCATGATGGAATGTGTCCTTGGACACTGGAAATGCCCCTTGCTTGCCTAGGAGAGATGTGTGGGCATAGAAACACCTGGCTTTTACACATTCTATGCAGCACCCTATTACCTAAACTTCCTGTATAGAAAGAGAGGCCACAATTTGAAGCCCTTCAGACTGATGCAAGATACAGCTCCAAGCCATCATAATTCCTGCTTGTCAAAATTTGTCACTCTGCTGCAAACTCCCACTCCAAAGTATGTCACATCTGACGCCCCCAGCACACATTTTTAATGCCTACACAGTAAACAATCCCATTTATTCCTTGGAAGGAGTGTCTTTTTATTGGCAAATACAAACAACTCATGGAAAGCAGGCACGAAGAACATCATTTCACACCATTCAAAATAATCCTTCAGGAGCAATGACGGCTGGTGTCCATTGGGAGCAGTGGCAGGGAAGCAAAAAGAGAACCCAAAATTAGGTGGAACCAGATCCAATGACAGGCATAGTCAATGACAGGTGGAGCCAACTCAGTTGGAGAGGTGATATGATAGTCATTTTCAAGTATTCCGGGCTGCCACATGGAAGATGGAGCAAGCTTGTTTTCTACTCCAGAGAGTGGGGCCCAAACCAATGGAGTCAAGTTACAAGAAATGAGATTCTGACTAAAAGCCAGGCAAAACTTTCTGGCAGCAAAATCTGGACTCTTCTTCACTGGAGGCTTTTGAGCAGTGTTTGGATGGATGACCACCTCTCAGGGATTCTTTGCATTGCAAGGGATTGGACAAGATGACCCTCGGGGTCCCTTCCCACTCGACATTCCTATGATTCCATAGAATCATAGAATCATAGAGTTGGAAGAGACCACAAGGGCCATCGAGTCCAACCCCCTGCCAAGCAGGAAACACCATCAGAGCACTCCTGACATATGGTTATCAAGCCTCTGCTTAAAGACCTCCAAAGAAGGAGACTCCACCACACTCCTTGGCAGCAAATTCCACTGTCAAACAGCTCTTACTGTCAGGAAGTTCTTCCTAATGTTTAGGTGGAATCTTCTTTCTTGTAGTTTGGATCCATTGCTCCGTGTCCGCTTCTCTGGAGCAGCAGAAAACAACCTTTCTCCCTCCTCTATGTGACATCCTTTTATATATTTGAACATGGCTATCATATCACCCCTTAACCTCCTCTTCTCCAGGCTAAACATGCCCAGCTCCCTTAGCCGTTCCTCATAAGGCATTGTTTCCAGGCCTTTGACCATTTTGGTTGCCCTCCTCTGGACACGTTCCAGTTTAGACCAGATTAGACACCATCTTCTCTCTGCCGAGTTGTACAAGCGCAACACTGATGCTAAGGAGGAGGAGGAAGCTGACAGCCAGGGCCAATTCATAGACTGGTTGCAAGAAGGCAGGCAGGTGGGGGCTGGCTGAGGGCAGTACTGAGGTTGGTGGGGCAGGACCCTATTTGCCCTAACGCAGAGGTTTCCAACCTTTTTGAGTCCATGGCTACATGAACCAACTACATTTTTCTGCAGCACCCCTGTGGGGCTCAGGAGCCCAGTTATGTCACCCCTTGCCTACAGAGCTGCCAGTCTCTCGCCCCTTTTCAAACACCCTCCCTTGTGGAGTGTTCCCTCACCCTCCTCTCCTTTCCTCTCTCCTTGGGAGCCCTCCAGAAAGCTGCTGTTGCCATCCCTGAGCCCCAAAGCGAGGTGCCATCCAGAGGCACCATTTGCCTGTGGATCTTACAGCCAGGGCTGCTGCAATAAACAGCTGTGCAAGCCTTTGGAAGACAGAGACACGAGGGGGCATCCAAGGAGGGAGGGAAGGAAAAAGGGACAGAGGGCAGTGTTGCCCGCGGAACCCCTAACCACCCTTCAAGGCACCCTAGGGTGCCACAGCACACTGATTGAAAACCACTGCTCTAATTCATTGACCTTCCTTTTTGGAAGCTGTGTGTGTTTGCACATGTGTATTTATATTTTTATCTCACTCTTCCTTCCTCTAAGGAGTTCAGGGTGGCTTACATAATCTTCCTCCTCCCCATTTTAGCTTCAGAGCAACCTTGCAAGGTAGGTTAGGTTGCGAGATAGTAGTTGGCCTAAACCAAATCACTGCAGCCCAAAGTACAGTGGTGCATCGGGTTACATACGCTTCAGGTTACAGACTCCGCTAACCCAGAAATAGTGCTTCAGGTTAAGAACTTTGCTTCAGGATGAGAACAGAAATCATGCTCCGGCGGCACGGCGGCAGCAGGAGGCTCCATTAGCTAAAGTGGTGCTTCAGGTTAAGAACAGTTTCAGGGTAAGTACGGACCTCCGGAATGAATTGGGTCCCTTTACCTTTACCTTTTTACCACTGTAGTACAAACCAGGCACAGGATGACTACCTCTGCCTTCATACAGAGTCAGGTCATGGGTCCACCAGTCATTGCCATGGGTCAGGCCAGTATTGCCTACACAGACTGGCAGAGGCTCTCTGGGGTTTCAGGCAGGGGTCTCTCCTCCCAGCCCTACCTGGAGATGCCAAGGAATTGAACCCAGCCCTTCTGCATGCAAGACAGATGCTCTTTCACTGAGCTACAGACTTTTCTCAAAGTGAGAAGGAACTACTAAGTCGTTGTTACTACTTCCCCTCCACTCTTGATGCACGCCTTGCTTTTATGAATGGCTCTAAATCCCTGCCACTTTTATCACCCTACTCCCATGTCTCTGTTACACCCTGGGAGAGGAGTGCTTTAGAAACTAAATCACTGGCACTCTATGAAATGGCCCTCGTCAATTAACACAGGAGACAGATGATAGCTTTTTAAGAGAGTTGAAAATAGGGTTGCCACCTTTTAACCTGACAAATTATGGACAGTCCAGCTATTTACCTCATCAGTGGGGCAAAACAGATCGGACATCAAAAGGGTTTATTGAGATCACAGTGATCCTGTGTATCTTGTCCCCTTGCAGTAATTGTTCAACAGGTCACTAAGGTAAGAAGGGAGACTGTTATTAGCTTTCATAATGATTTCATTCTCCAAAAAACTATTTTTGAAACATACTTACTGGGGTTCTCTTAGGGACAAACTAGATTAGATGGCGGCAGACTCAATGCAAACCTTTATAAAGCAGAGGTGGAGTGGAGTAGGGCAACTGGAAGTGTAGCATGGCTGGGTTGAAGGCAGGAGCCGAACCCTCCCATGCCCATGTTTTCACTCCTGTCTCAGCGATGTCTACGCTGGCTTGGTCATGTGCACAGTATGGAAGGTGGCAGGATGCCCAAGGACATGCTCTACAGGAAGCTGGCTTCAGGCACAAGACCCATTGGCAGACCAACTCTGTGTTACAAAGTTGCCTGCAAACGTGGCATGAAGGCTGACATCAACCCCGCCGTGTGGGAATCTCTCACAGAGAATCACAGTGCCTGGAGACAGACAATCAGGTTGTGCATCCATAGCAGTGAACAAAGGAGGAATGACCGCTGTGAGGAGCAGAGAGAGAAGAAACGCCATAGTGCATCTGCAGCAGCACAACCGGACGCCTTCATCTGCCCCAGCTGGAACAAAACATGTATCTCCCCTATCGGTCTCTACAGCCTCAGCAGGTGCTTTCTACAATTTCACTCCCAAAGGTGCACTCCTCTGTTGTCTCCCAAGACAGATGGATACCAACAAAAATAGTATGGCTGAAAGGGACCTCAAAAGGCGTCTAGTTCAACCAGCTGCCAATGCAGCAGGAAATCCACTGCCTTATACCGAGTTAGACCACTATTGTCCACGCAGACGGAAAGCGACTCTCCAGGATTTCAGACATGCCGCCACTCCCAGCCCTCTCTGGTATTTACCTCTCACAGAGTTAGAATTCCTGGCAAACTTTAACAAACAACAGTGCCCACAATTCTTTAAGGAGGGAAATGTTTCAAATGTGCTTTAAAGGTATAGTGTGCACACAGCCTTAAACACACAGGCCTGAAGCAATCGTGCTTAGTTTGGTTCTTAGCTCTCCTCCACAGTATATCCCCTTTTTTGAGACAAGATCAAGGACACTCCACTATGCCTTCACTAACACTAGATTACTGCTGATTATGTTCCCCAAACATGAACAATCTGTAAAATTTATGGGCAGTTGCCAATACCCACCTTTGGTCCAAAAGGTTTCTAAAACAATACACAAACCCAGCCGTGTCTGGAGCTGAAAATCCAAAGTAGAAAATCAGCAGAATGAACGGGAGGATCCCCAAATGCAAAAGGGCTGGTTTATCACATCTTGAAGTAATAAAGACATACACGTGCTCATAAAAAGAGAGGCTCCCTGTAAAACCATTTGAAGCAATGAAGTAACATCCAAAGAGCAGGTTCCTGTGAGACCATTAAGTCCAGAGTCTAAAAGCAGGTAACTGCACAACCAGATGGCCACATTTCCTAGCGACAATACTCTACTTGAAGGATGGACCAGACCAAGCCCAGTTTAAAGATACAGAACCCTAGGATGGGAGAGCAAGAGGGGCCTTGCAGTTGGCCATCAACAGCGAGCTGCACCTGGGCAGGTGCACAGGCCATCTGATCGCAGTATTGCTTGCCCACTATGGTGAAATTCTGTTTATTTCTATTTAATTGATAACAACTTGATCCAAATTTGCATCTATGCAAGTCTATGCAAATTTGCGTCTATGCAAATTTGCATCTAGTTTAGTCGTTTCCGACTCTTCATGACTCCATGGACCAGAGCACGCATCTATACATGCATATTAAAACGCCCTGGGTCCCAGTTGCCAAAGATCAAGAACTCATATCAGGATTCTTTCCCAAGAATGCCATGTTTAGACTGGTGCAGTACATTATGAAAATCGCTGGTCTAAGGCACAGGTAAGTAATACTCATAGATAATCCCAGGCACAGATGCACAACTACCCAAAGTGAAGGCATTGATCCAACAACAACACACCCCATGCTATCCTATATAAAGGAATGAGGCGGGCTCAGCTTAGTGCAGCAAGAGTTTCAGCTCCTTAGCAAGCAATCACACACACTGCCTAGAAGGAGGCACGGGCAGCACCTGTTTGCCTGTCTTTTTGTTTCTCCTGGACATAGCTGGTAGGGGAGGTGTCTCTGCTCCATGGCAGATGAATGGGGCAGGAGGAACGTCCCCCCCCCCCCCGAGAGGCGTGGCTATTGCCAGTATCTGACAGCACAAAACACACCACAGAAGCATAAAAAATAGGCTCCAATGGCTATGGAGAGGGAGGTGGGGCTTGTGGCTCGTGCTGCAGGGATGGCGGGTTGAGAGAACAGGTTGAGAACCCCACACACCCACTTGGTTCCTCCCCAGGACCCTTTGTATCCCACTGGAATCTCCCCTGGGTCCCTGACAAACTATCCCTATGCATCAACCAGCCCATGATGAAATATATGCAGATTTTATGCTAATATGTCCTTGTCTGTCTTCCTTTTTTGGTGATGCATTTCTTCTTTCCTGGCATTGGGTCAGTGGCCACCCTACAGCACAAACTTGCCAAGCCTGCTTACCAAGGCTCTGAGGCCGGCCTTGGCTGGGGAGGGCGGGGTATAAATAAAAAAAAAAATTATTATTACCACAAGTGGAAGTGGGATGAGCGTACACATTAGAAGCAGCAATTCACTTTGTTTTTTTGTTGTTGTTTTTTAAAAGCTTGAACTCCATGGGGGAAAGCCAAACAAAAGCCCTGCTATCTTAACTCTATGCTATGTCACTCATCAGCATTCATGCTTCCTTGAGTTTTTGCACCTTCCACAAATGCAGCTTCTGTGATTTTCACCGAAATTACTTTGAGGCCCTTTCAGACTAGCTCTCCCTTCATCTCTTTTTGAAAATGTTAAAAGCACAGCAAGTTGCCTTGCACTTTGCTTTTCATAGCTATAGTTTGCTGCACTTTGGGGCTTTGCGGATGATGGGGCGGGGGGGGGGGGGAACTGCATTAGAAAAATCTACACACACATAAGGAGCTGCAAATCTGACACAAAGCCCACAGCCAGATGTTTGGGATGGAGTCAGGAATTGGGGGAGGCGGGGAGAAATAGAAGAAGAATCACTCTTGACTCTGCTTATTCCCTGTGGCTGGAATGAGTTGACACTAGTATTTTTAATAAAAAAAAAACTCACAAGGTAAGCAGTTTTCTCAAGAGCTATCTGCAATGATGCCCATTGGCCCAGCTCGCTCAGAAATTGGCGCCCAGCTGCTCACGAGATAAAGAATCAGAAATAGCAGCAAAGCTGGCATCCTGGGGTGGGTGGGAGGTAAATAAATAGCCTCACAAAGCAAAGTGTCGCCTGGCAGGTGGGCTGCTAATTCAGAAGCTGCCAACAGCACCTAAGCCAGAGAAGCAGGAAGGAATTTGAATGCAGCTCCTAGATCCTTTCTGTCCCATTCAGCACATCGTACCTTAGCCCCCTCCAGAGTAGTGTGTGTGTTATATTTATTTGGCAAGTTCCTTCTGCAACATGTCACTGGTGCACTATTAGTGCATTAGTGATGCAGTAGCGGTTTAGTCATGCTGGCCACATGACCCGGAAAGCTGTCTGTGGACAAACGCCGGCTCCCTCAGCCTGAAAGCGAGATGAGCGCCGCAACCCCATAGTTACCTTTAATTGGACTTAACTATCCGGGGTCCTTTACCTAGGATTTATATTGGACCGTCCACACATCACTCCATTTTATTAGCTGTTGGGCTTCGAAACATCACTCCATTTTATTAGCTGTTGGGCACCAAAATTACTTTGAGGCCCTTTCTGCTGTTTGGTGGGGCTATAGCCCAATAAAAGCAGGATGTCCTCCGCCCCCTGACCCCAAATGTTTGTGGTCCGAAAAGTTACAGTATTTCAGCAGGAAGCTGCAGGATATGCACTGGACGGAAGGGAAGCAGTGTGACCATTCAAAAAATTTTGCAGGCAGCATCAGTATTGAGAACAGGATTGCATAGAACTGCCCCAATAGCATCAGGAGCGCAAGTCATCATGAATGCGTGGTGAGGAGGGCATCTGGAGGGATTGTTGACCCCTGCAGACCTCCCACTGTCCGTACTCTCCCTATCACTTGGATCTCAAACTGTCACCATGACTGGAAGTTTTTCAGGTTTTAATCAACAAGTCGGGACAGCATCCCAACATGGGTCTGCAGGTTACAAATTCATAAGGCATGGCGGAAATCTACAGTATCGTACCATACATGGCTAGGCCACTGACCAATCAGATGCTCGATAGGCAAGCTCCTTTGTGCCTGCAGAGCAACTGAGTCACTGGCAGTCAGAATTTCCAGAGGGGTAGTCAAGAGTTTTCATGCACACAACAATTTATTCTAGAACCAATGGAGACTGGCTACTTGTTTATTCCACGTAGTCCACACACAGTTTAGTTCTACTGCATATTCTTTTGGCCCTTGGAACATGCTTCTTGAGAAACCTATTTCGTTCCAAAAATAAAAGCTCATTGCAGATTGATTCCCCATTACTCCCAGTGTGTCCATTTGAACACAGATGAAAACAAATCGACAGAGTCCTGGCAATGTGGGTGGGCGGCTTTATCCACATCCGCCCAATGATGTTGTGAGGTGGGCCTATGCCAAGTT